GCTCTCGCTGCCCCGCCGCACCTGGGGGCCAGGCGACTCCGCGGCTGTTGGGGCTGCCGGGCTCCTCTGACCATCCGGCTCCTGCTCCGCCGCGGGAGCTGCTCCGGCGGCCGCGGGGCTCGCTCGGGAAGCTGAGGCGGCGGAGGCTGGAGTAGGCGGAGAGGCGGGAGGAGGGCCGCGCGCCTCTGTCAGGCTTGCCGCGGGGCCCGCCCCTCCGCGCCTCTCCTCCCCTTCCATTGGTGCAGCCGGAGTGTGGCCGACAGCCTGACTGCCGATTGGGCCCGAGACCCGTCACATTCCGAGCTGCCCACTCCGAGGTTTGGTTGAGACTGCAGGTGGCGGCGGAGGTGCCTCGGAGACTGCAAGTAGGAGCGGAGGAGACCTAAGCGCCACCGTGCGCCAGAACGTGGGAACTGCATCTCCAGCGCCACACACCTGCCTGCAGGTTCTCTTGGCTCTGCGTCCTGCGCCCCAGACACCTGCTGGCGGCCTCCCGCTCACCTCCGCATCACCCCAGAACCAAAAGCCAACCCCTGCAGTTTCTTCCAATTCCTCGGGCAGGTGCACTAGGGAGGCAACTCTGCTAAATGAGCTCTCTTTTGAACCACCTTGAATGCGGTCCCTGGTCTACATCTTGCTGAAATGGTCTCAGCATAATGCTACCCCTCATAAAGGAAACGGTCACAAAATTTTAAGAATCCACCCAAACAAAGCATGGTTTGGCTGATCTGTCCTCTGTCGGAAAGATCACAAACTTGGATATAGGCTTTTTTAAAAAACAAGAGTTTGTTTTTTTTTTTTAAATTACCATGGCGAAAAATCAACACTGCAAACAGAATGAATGCCATTAACTAAAAGGAATATGTCACATTTTGAACGACATAAACAGGATTCCTGAGTGTATGCTAACCATTCTGGTATACTGCAGATGGCTTTGAGTTCTACACTAATCAATTTTAAAATAAATTTCACTGCATTTTGGCAGACCTACGCATGAAAAAATACCAGCACATACGAGCACATAAATACTAGTTACCTTTCCTTTTCTCTAATAATAGCATCCTTGAAAATAATGGAGTGCATTAATATAAAATTCTTTCTTTAAAGTAACGCGCCCTCTCTGCGTCTCTATTCCTGTATGCAGTTGTTTAGCAGATCCTTAGCATTTGCTTGAAGTTGGAAGGAGGCATAAAATGTTCTCCTGAGCTGCATTCATTTTATCAGGACACGTTTATTAATCAGTAACGTGACAGCCTAGAGTAGTATACGTCAACAACGTGTGGAGGATAAAGCCCTCCCTGTTTTCCATAAATGACAAAATTCAAGACAAAATTCAAGCCAGTCAAGGTGAACGTACTTATTATTCCAGCACTCTAAGAGGCTGAAACAGGAGAACTGAGTTCAAGCCCAACTTAGCAAATTAGCAAGATTATGTCTCAAAATAAAAAATGAAAAAGGGTTGGAGACATAATCTCAGTGTAAAGGTTGTAGGTTCAATCCCTAGTACGGAGGTGTGGTGTTTAAAATACTACAGTTTTTCATAAAATCAAATAATATATTTGGTGTAAAAGGCTGTCCATTATTCTGAGATGGTTCTTTTTTCCTTTTTTATTTTAAAGAGAAAAAAATTTCACAATAGGAGGGTAACAATGGTTAATACATTGTGTATTGCTATCTTTAGTTACTCAGAGTACAAGACAGACATTTAATTATCCAAATAATATTAGCACAAACCTTTGTTGTCAATGAACTGAGAAATTAGTAGCATAACTATCTTGTGCGTGTGTGTATATATATATGCTTTTCCCTTCCTTCTTTTCTCCTTCTCCCATCTGTTTCTTTCTTTTTGAAGTTTCTTCCCATTTTACAGTATTTCACATGTTGGATCTTATTTACTCTTTCAGCTTCTCACACTAGGAAGACAATATGATGTTTGTACATGTGCATCTGGTTTATTTCATTTATGAGTATGGTCTCGAGTTGCATCCATCTACATATAAAAGTCTCCAGTTTATCCTTCTTTATGTACTCTATTGTATAAAGAGACCAAATGAGATGGTTCTTTTGGATTTTCATTTATGAAATACTGCAATAGTGATGGTAAACTGTGGTGGATTGTGTGTGTGTGTGTGTGCGCGCGCGCCCATGTGCGCACCGAGGACCAAATCCAGGGCCTCACACATGCTAGGCAACGTATCTGCAGCCCTATCTCGAGATTTATTTATTTATTTATTTTTGTCTTTTTGAGACAGGGTCTCACTATGCAGTTCAGGCTAGTCTTGAACTCACTTTGTAGCCCAGGCTGGCCTTGAACTCACAAGGATCCTCCTGCCTCAGCCTCCCAAGTGCTAAGATTACCAGTGTGCACTACCATGCCCAGATCTCATGGGATTTTTTTCCTGACTAGGGAAAAAAAATGGTACTGAACCTGTTGTTTGTCCAAACATTTTATGTAATCCCAAAGTCACCAAACTATAAATCACCTCAATCCTGTTTCCACCATATAATCAATCCAGAAAAGAGAAATTATTCCAGAATAACTTGTCAGAAGAGGGTAAAGGTAAAACAAAAGTAAGAGGAATCCTGATGAAAAGAATGTAGTCATTAGGGAAATAATTTTGAAGTCAGTCATTACATTTCTTCAAGTATTGACTAAAATTCTCTAATTTCCAATGTTTCCCATAATTAGTCAATCTCTCTGATACATGGTAGACACTCTTGTCACTTTGCCAATAAAACTGCAGTTGTTGTTTTGTGGTACTGGGGATTGAATCTTGGGCTTATGCACTGAACTACATCCACCTTTGTATTTTGAGATAAGGTCTTGCTAAATTGCTAACTGCCCAGGGGGTCTCAAACTTGCAATCCTCCTGCCTCTGCATCTGAGTGCTGGGATCACAGGTATGAACTCAGCCATTCTTCTACAGCACCTTTCCAAAAACTACCTTCAAGTCTTCAGGTCATGTCCACACCCTAGTAATGTAGGTTGTGCACTTCTACTCTGTAAAACGTGTATAGTCTATCATCCTAAGCCATGTTTCACTCTTCAGATCTTGCCCCAGTAACTGTCCTCCAAACATTTCCTTCTCCAGACCTGCTGTACTTATAAAAGCTAGTTAGCAATTACGGTTCATTTGGACTATTCTCACTTCCCCAACCACACTGAATTTATGCAGTGTGAATCCTCAATAAATGGCACCTTTCAGCAGCTACTGGGTACTTAGTATAATATTTTTAATATCGAGTTCAACCCTATATGGTATTCTCTTAGACACAAAAATTTAAGATTCAGAGAATACAATTTCCTCAGGGTCGCAGTTACAAAAACCAGTATTTCTTAAAATAGAAGGCTTAAGAGCTACTCTGGTGTGCACAGCAGGAGTTCAAGGTCCAGCTCTTCTATGCAACTGTGGGCAGGTTACTTACCCTCTGTATGCCTATTTCATCTGGGGTTACAGAGAAAGAAGGCCGTATACTCAGAGGCCCCAGAGAATAGGGCCTGTACAGCATTTAGCTAACTGCTTAATCCAGGAATGGTTTCTATCCCATTATTAAAAAAAAAAACAAAACAAGGTCTTGCTAGATTGCTGGCTCAAATCTGTGATTCTTGAGACTCCCAAAGCACCGTGATGACAGGCATGTGCCACCGTACCCAAATTCGCTGCCTTTTGCGGGGGTGGGGGTGGGGGTGGTGGATACTGTGGATCAAACGCAAGGGTACTTTATCATGGAGCTACAATTCCCAGTCTTTCAAAAAAATTTTTAATCTTTTATTTTTTTTTTAAGATAGAGTCTTGCTAAATTGCCCAGGTTGGTCTGGAACTTGAGGTCCTTCTGCCTCAGCTTCCCAATCACTGAGAACCATAGGCATGTCCTATGATACCAGCTCCCACTGTCGTTTACACATAAAATCAAAGTGCGGAGAACCATAGTGGGTGTCCAGGGAGCGAATGAAACACATACTAGGTAATAATTTGTGTTGTTGCTGTTGACACACACCAAAGAAATCTAGAAACTTCACACATTTCTGAAGAAAATATGTGAATAATCTAAGCCAGGTAAATCTGTCATGAGGGAAAGAAAGGCACATATTCATCCAGCGATTAATATGGAAGTAGAAAATACATAGGGAGTCTAATGTGTTGCCATCATATTAGGGGACTTCTCAAATGTTTCTTTTTGGTTCTCTTTATTACTAGATGACTCATCAGCACTACTGCACACTGTACGTATACAATGGAAAGAGCTGTGATGTCTCACGAAGCAGGGCTCTGGGCACTGGACCCAAGTCAGTAACTATTGCTTTTAAGGAACTGGAACACTCAGCCCAGAGTCAAATGTAGAACAGAAATACAGTTTCACTTGTGTTTACCAGTCAAGCAACTACGTGAAGGAATAAGCATTTTTTAATTTGTTATATAAAATGCTAATTTCTTGTCAGGACGTACTACAGACTATGCATTAGATAAAATTATTTTTGACAAACTTCCTATAATCTTTTTATTAATTTACAGAGGGAATATAGCACCTTTCATCCAAAGAACCGAAGGTGCTTTACAAACATTAGCATTTAAAAAACAATTACATTTAAAAATCTGGATTCTTACTGTTAAATCTCTTTGACAATTTTCTGGAAGCTGACGGAAAGAGAATCTATTTCCAACAATGACAGAGGCTCAGAAAGAGTCCTGATTTGCTTTCACAATATAGGCATTTTCCAAAATCTGGTGTTGGGTTTACAAAGCAAAAAAACACACACATCTCAACACAATGAACAATATATCAAACCTCATTTCAAAAGAAAAACTCAAGGTTGAAAATGTCAAAATCTTCCAACAGTTCTAGACATCCAGACAGAATAGGAGCTGATTGGTGCAGGTTGCATATTAGATGTACTCTTGATCCAGGCTTGGCAGGATCACACCCTATGACCACATTTAAAGGAGTGAGATTTGTCAAGGCGATACAGTAACCTACAAAAGCTAGCCAAGAGCAATTCAGCCAACTAAGGAAAGGGAGTAAATGGCAATTTAAAGTAGACAGTCCTCACTAGAGCCTAGGGTACTTTACTAGAAACCAAGGATATCGTAGGCAAATAAACATAAGGGAATTTACATTCGGCCTACATACAGGGAGTAACAGATCCTCCTGCCTACAGATCTATGACTTGCAAGTATCTCCCACCACATGATTACTCTATATAATACATAGCCCTTATTAATTAGAGGGATCCAAGTATTTTTAGGTTTACAAAGTCCAATACATTCACTCTCTCTTCCCTTTACATGTCTAATAGTAGAAACTATTTTCTTTCCATGCAAAAAGCCAATATTCAGTTGGAAAGAATCAAACAAAACAGAGATGGCAGTTAAGGAAAGGACAGAATATTATTGGCACATGCCCAGTTAGTGACAAACAAATGCAGTCTGCTGTGACTTTAAAAAAAAAAAAAAAAAAAAAAAAGGTCACATTACAGGGAGAATGAAAACACTACATAAACCTAAGCAAAGGCTTATGAAGTAGAAAGAGAGGCCTGAGGGTTACTGGTTCACTGGTGCAACTCAAAAGGAGTGAAGGGCAAGCACTTAAATACAATTTATGGTAACAAGAAAAACAAATACTGCAGATAGCTGTTCCAAGACCACACCAAGTTGTCTGCATCATTAGTTTCCAGTGTTTCACAATTAGTAAGATACATAGCTACATTTCCCTGTGAGACAAAAATACCTTTCCACCTGAATTACCCTGGGGTCAGGGCAGCAATACAGAGCTACAGACCCAACATGAGTTCAAGTGCGTGCAGCAAGTATCTCAGCTGCTTCTTTCACATAGCTATACAATTAAAAGCTGTACAAGGAGCTGAGTGGTTGGGGAAAAATAAATCAAAACAGTATTGTGCTCATTCAGTAAAAGAAAACCCTGATGAAAAATTATGTGCCAAGAAGCTTAGACTATAAAGATTTTTATTGCATTTTTAGGTAACCTGGAAGTTTTTATCCTGAAGGGGAAAAGTTGTTTTTCAAAACTACCTGAACAGATGCTAAAGTGCTTTATTAATTGGCTGGCTTCACATGGATTTCCTGGGATGACAAAAATTAATTTTACTAGTAAAGGGATACCAACTATTTCACAAAATGACACATTCCAACATCATTTATGACCACAGCCATAAAAGATACTGGAACACTTGTCCTTATTAAGTGGACAATTGCATATCAAGAACTGATCACCACAACCCTTTGGATATTCATATTACACAGAATCAAAATAGGGTATCACAGACTTTTACAAAAAAAGAAGTCTGTTTCTTTCTACACTTTTAATAATCTGCTTCAGATTACAGTTTACAAATACAAGTCCTGGCTTTTCAACCTTTCCAGCTGCAGCTAAAAAATGAATACTTCTAAGAGTTAAGGTCTAGTGTTACAGCAAGAAAAGAATGACTCCTATTAAAAAGTACATATATTTGTACTTAATGATACTGATGATAAGATTGTAAACTGGATCAATCACATTCTACTCAACTGGTATCAAATGAACACATTAGCAGTGTAAGTATTAAATTTTTCTATTACTATAGAGGATATAAACCAAAACATTAATATGGCAGTTATGTTCTTTAGGCACAGTTTAGTGATCTTTTTAAAAAATAAATACTACTGGATTTCAACTGAAGTTTTAAACTCAACTAAAGGGTCCAGAACTCTGATTAGGAAAAAAGAATAAAGAGTAATATAAGGTAACAATGTAAGCTGTTCCAAAGTTCTAACACTTAACCTATCTGGTTTTAAGATTATTTTATTAAAAAATACAAGGAATCTGAAAAAGATCAATACAATTTTCATAATGTACAAAGTCATAAGCTGTAGCAGTTTTTAACTAAATTTAAAAACACAACAAGGAGGGCAGCCCTTTAGACCAATTTATTTTATATCCTTTTAAAATATCATCCAACAAAGGACAATGGGTTTACATCTGGGACAGGTATACATGACTCGAGGCATCTCTAGTCCGTCGTGCCCACTGAATAACAACTTTGCTGCTGAAATTTCTTAAAACTTACCAAACTCAAACAAAAGGCTGAATGATACAAAAGGAAGAGTATTTCAGTGTAACTGTCAATTGGCTGTTTTAAAAAAGGAAACACATTCTGTTTCCCCAGACCAGTAAATAAGCAGGAGCTACATGCAGCAGTGTGAGTATTAAGACATTTCTCAAGTCTTCTCAAATGAGTCCAAGGTGGGGATGGCGAGGGGGAGGAAACTGATAGAAAAACATCGCTATAGACACCATGACGAACAATAAATTTAGATAATTTAAAATTAAAAAAAGGCAAGAGGCAGCATTTCAGCAGCAAAGTGCTCAATAAAAAGTATATCGTAGAGGGTACAAGAAAGTTGGGATAAGAAGAGGGCAGAAAATGGGTCAGCAGGATGGGCGAAGGCCTCAAAGGAAATACGGCGTCGTCGTTCTGGGAGGAATAACACGTTCTGAATCTGGAACTGCCCGGAATAACTTTGGTTCTCTTGTATTCACGTCTTTGAAGACCATGATGGAAGCAATATTTCCACAACGATAGCAGTAGTTAGGAGCAGACCACACTGTGACCAGCTTCTCGTCAAACATAAACTTATAGCCTTCGTGCACAAGCTGATGTGCTCTGCAGATGAGTTTTAAGTTGTTGATATGAACAAACTGCAATGTAGAAAGGCTTTGTAAGTATCAGCAGATTTTTAAATAACCTACATACATAAAAGATTTAAATAAAGTACCAAATCCTGTTACTACTAGATTTCTCATGATTTTAGAATCTGTTCTATAATTAACTCCAATAATTTCAGTAAGTCTGCCAAACAGAGTCACTTTGGGCCAAGTCAATTATAGAGCTGTAGAAATTGTACTGCCAGCTGGGCATGGTGGCCCATGCCTATAATCCAGTCCCTCAGGAGGCTGAGACAGGAAGATCACTGTGAGTTCAAGGCTAACCTGGGTTATATAGTGAGTCCAAGGCCAGCCTGAACTATATAGTGAGACCCTGTCTCAAAAAAAAAAAAAGAAAAAAGAAAAAAGAAAGGAGAAATTGTACTACCACATATTACAGGTATATACAGTCTCCCAAAGTAATTCCAGCACTTTGGGAGACTGAGGTAGGAGGACTGTCAGTCTGGACAATTTAGCGAGACTCTGTCTCCAATAAAAAGACAAAAAAAGAAATTGTACAGCTATATAACTAATTAGAATTTTCTGAACTAGATGCTGTATCAGAGGCCTATAGTCCCAGCTACCTGGAAGGCTGAGATAGGAAGACTACGGAGCCCTTGAGGTTGACACCAACTTTGGCAACATAGCAAGATGTCATCTCAAAACCAAAAGAGAGTAGGAGTGGTGGTACATGTTTATATCAGCACTGAGGAGGCTGAGACAGCATGATTGTAAGTTCAAGGCGAGCCTAGACTACATAGTGAGATCCTGTCTCAAAAAAACAAAACTAAACTGAAAGAAAGAAAAAAAAAAAAACTGAAAAGGAGAGGGGAAGGAGATGGGGAGGGGGAGGGGAAGGAGAACGGGAACGGGAAGGGGAAGAAAGCTACAGACAGACATTGTCTTTAGAAGAAAACCATTCCAAAAGTACTACCAGATATTAAAAACTTGTTCTTTATGGATTAATAAAGACACTGCTGCTGGGCGTGGTGGCACATGCCTGTAATCCCAGCACTCCAGAGGCTGATGCAGGAGGATCATTGCAAGTTCGAGACCAGCCTGGGCTACAAAGTGAGCTCAAGGCCAGCCTGAACTGCATAGCAAGACCCTGTCTCAAAATGACAAAAAAAAAAAAAACAAATTGCTATCAATATAATTTATTGATACAGTATGTGCAGTTCTTAGAGTAATTCTGAAGGAGACTTACTGTCCTTCTTCTGCAAGTGAAGGATAAGACGGCTCTGACTGAACAAATAACTTATCAGAGTTACACTGATGGGAAGAGTCTAATTGTCTGATTTCATTATGCTAGAGCATTTCCCAATACAATGTTATCCTTTTGTACATGTATCCTTGTTTTTGTTTTGTTTTCTGTTTTATGGTGTGAGAGATTGAACCCAGGGCCTCATGTGTGGCACACAAATGCCCTACCACTGACCTATACCCCCCAGGCCACTATGTTGTTATTTACATGTTACTTTATTCAAATAACCAAGTGGATGCAAGAATATGGGCTTTTACTATATGATCTCATTTAACCATAAGGAAAAGTATAAATAAACTAGAAATGTGAAATCCATAGCCTCCATGGTCTAAGGAAACTACACTAAAAGTTTGTTATGTGGGTCCAGCAATGTATGTCTTTTACCAACGAACAAACTACTTTCCTGAAAATGTTAGTTTACCTCATTTGTGACCTTTGCTCCAAAAAGCCAACCTGCTCCTCGAGGACTGATTGCCCAAGTATCCACATCTTCGGGATCTGACCAAACTAGGTCACAAAATGCTCCTTTATGAGGAATTTCTTGGTTCCGTTCAATGGTTCGAATTTGATCCAGTGTTTTGATATCAGGAGATAAACCACCGTGAACACATAAAATCTGCTCATCTATTAACTACAAAAAAAGGACAATAAAAACTGCATGTATAATAACAAACTCAGCCATTTCTAAACTCATTAATGTTAAAAATAGCAATATAATTGAGGTGACAATTAGATAAAAGTATACGTTATAGACAGGAAAATATTTAAAAGTATTAAGAAGATTGATAAAAACTTACAGCTGCTACTGTGAGCATGTCAAAAACTTTGGTACAGTATCTCCAAGCATTAGCATTTCCATATTTGGTTTGGCACTCATCTATGAAAGAAATGGAAGCATTCTCATTAATGAAATTCTGAATTTGCCAATCAAAAACAAATAAATCCAATGTGAAAATAGCTTTCAACCCAACAGAAAGTCAGCTTACACTAGAACAGAAAATTATGACAAATATTTAGGCATAATAGTCCCTTCATACAAAGCCAAAAGAAGTCCAGTGTCTAACTATAAATATATCCCTTTTCATTGCAAGAATGGCCCTAAGATGTAGCTGAAATTATCTGCCAAAATGCTCTTATCAAAAAGAGTTAACTACTAATTTCACATAAACCAAAGCAAGTATTTTAGTATTTAATGTTAATACTAGTCCATTTTACCAAACAGAGTCATTTACATTGTCTTCTTTTTTTTGGTACCAGCAATTGAACTCAGGGCCTTGTATTTACCACACAGGCACTGTGCCACTAAGCTATATCCCTGGCCTCATTTACTTATTAATGTGACCACCATATTCCAACAGAATAATAAAATCAAACATTATAGGGCCCTTAACTATAGGAGCATGGCTAACTCTTATCTCAACATTTCTCAGTCCTAAATTATCCATTCAAGATTTTCTGCAAATTGTGTCACTAAATAATATTTTTTATACATATACTACACAGGCATAAGAAATAAGTAGCTATATCACTAATTTAAATTTCTGATATCTGAGATGCTTCAAATCATGTTTGAGCACTGAAATGATGTCCCAAATGGAAAATTCCACACCTGACCTCATGTGACTGTGATAGGTCTCAAAATGCACACACACTAAAAATACAGACTGCTTATCTCTTATCAGAAATGTTTACAAGGCTAAATTCAAGGCTATATGGGCTACTACGCTAGTCTGAGCTACATAGTAAAACTTTGTCTCAAAAATTTAAAAAGAGAAAAGAAATGCTTGGGACCAGAAGTATCTGGATTTTGGAATGTATGCATAGATTTATTAGTTGAGCATGCTTAATCTCAAAATCTGAAATCCAGAACATTCCCAAATCTGAAACTTCTGAGTGTCAAAAATGATCCAAAATCCAAAACTTTTGGAGTGTCATGATGGCACTCAAGTGTCAGATTTTGGAGCTGATGATTCTGAATATCAGATTTTCACATAAGGGTTGCTTGACCTCTACTGTATAAAACTACCTTAGGCTACATACACAAAGCATATATGAAACATCAATGAACTCTATGTTTAGATTTCAATCTCATCCCCAAACGTATAAATATTCCAACATTTAAACAAATTCAAAATCTAAAACACTTCCTGGTCTCAAGTATTTTGGATAAGGGATACTTGACCTGAAAAATATCTTATTATGTATGAGTTTTATATGTTACAATATTACTCTTGCAAAAAAATTACATTTTATGTAACACTGCATTACAGATATAATAGTCATATACAGTCATACACTGCCTCAATCAATGACATACACTGCCTCAATCAGTGACAGACACCACACATATAACAGAGGTCCTATAAGATTATATCACCATCTTAGTCTATAGCCATCTTAAAATGTATAAAGACTCCCCATAATGTGCACACAACAAAATCACCTCACAATGTACTTCTCAAAATTTATAGCAAGTACATATTAGTGTTATTTTACTGATCAAATACCACAATACACCACCCCAAAATACTGATTATTTTGTAATGGAAACAATAGCTTTTTGTGAATAAAAATCAAAAGTAACCTGTAACCCTAGACATTGTGGCATGCACTTATAATCCCAGCACTCTGGAAGACTAAGGCAGGAGGATCACTGCAAATTAGAGGCCAGATTGGGCCACACAGTGAGTTTAAGGACAGTCTGAACTAAATGGTGAGATCCACCTCAAAATAAATAAATAAATAAATTTGAAAAAGACAAAACAACTTAAAAATAACTCAATGTTCAAAGGGACTGGTTAAATCAATTCTGATACACTCATACAGTGTAATGTATGAATGTACATTATGTATAACCATAAAAATAACATCCAGGGCCCAGGGATACAGCTCAGTGGTGCAGCACCTGCCTGGCAAGCCCAAGAACAAAAACAATAGCAAACTGAGGAAGTAAAAGCTGGACTCAACACTGCATTTCACATGGTTATGTAGATGTACACACACATACTCACACACACACGATTGAAATTAGCACTCAAACTTAAATGTGCAATACATTCATCTTTCGTAGACCCTATTATCCCACCCCAAAAGATTCTGATTACTGGGTCTGAGGAAGAGCCCAGCAATCTATATTTTTAACAAGCACCTGGTGATTCCAATTTTGCAAGTGTATATTTACACCTTTCACACTGATCTAGGAAGATACATACCAAAAAGTTGACAATAGTTTTCTCTCTATGGCAAGATTTTCAGTTGATGAGGGAAGCAGGCAAGTTAAAGAGTAGTCAAGTAGGGAGAAAAAAATACAAAGTACAGGTATGACTTGTGCATATTTTTTTTCCAAAAGGAAAATAAAAATAATATTGAGAATCATAAACAGAAGATTTTTTTTTGCTTGTTTGTTTTCTAGTACCAGGAATCGAACTCACAACCTCATGCTTGCCAGGCAGGCACTGTGCCTCTGAGCTAAATCCCCAGCCCCAGAAACAGAAGATCTTAACCAGGTGTGGTGGCACATACCTGTAATCCCAGAAATTGGGAGGCTGAGGCAGGAGGATCATCACGAGTTCTAGGCCAGCCTGGGCTACATAGTGAGTTCAGGGCCAGCCTGAACTACCTAGCAAGACCCTGTCTCAAAAAACAAATAAACAAGGGCTGGGTATTTTGCTTAGCGGCACAGCGTCTGCCTGGCAAGCGCAAGGTGGTGAGTTTGATTCCCCGTACCGGAAAAAAAAAAAAAAAGAACAATCAAAAAAGAAATAGATCTTACCGTAAAATCCATACACCTGTGTTATTTGTCTACTTTCATGATTTCCTCGTAAAAGTGTAATACGATCAGGCCATTTAGCCTTTAGTGCAAGAAGATAAGTGAAGGTCTCCAAACTATAGTAACCTCTGTCTACAAAATCACCCTGTAAAGCAAAAGTTCACAGTTACAAACAATACAATAGGTACCATAGTATTTTAAACTTATATTAAAGTACATAATCTCAGAAACACAGCCAAATAATAACAACGTAGACTCACACTCACACATTGTTACCATATATGCAAATTAAATTTTAACAAAAATTCAAATGGAGCTGGATGTGGTGGTGTATACTATAATCCCAGCACTCCTGAAGGCTAAGGCAGGAGACTTTGGAGTTTAAGCCCAGCCTGGGCAATTTAATGATACTCTCTCTTTTAAAAATAAGGCTGGGGATATAGCTCAGGCTAAGAGCCCTAAGCTGAACCCCAGTTCCCACTGGAAAAACAAAACCAACGAACCAACCGAACACCTCAAATCAAAATAAACTTCCTTCTAAATGTTTGTATTTCACTTATGATTCAGAAGAGGCCTACAGGAATCTGCTGTGCAATTCTTCCAAATATTTCTCCCTAAAAAAACATTTCTCAATCTTTTAATATCTATATTAGATGTTAAATAAAAGGGCTAGTACTGGCATTAAACCTAAGATCTTTGCAGAGATACATCCCCAGCTACCTTCCACTTACTTTGTGAGACAGGGTCTCACTAAACTGCTAAACTGCCAAATTAGTCAGTTGGGGCTCAAATTTGAGATCCTTCTGCCTTCGCCTTCCACAGCGCTGGGATTATAAATATACAACACCAATGCCTGGCTCAAATATTTTTAATTAACTTAAGTTTAAAAAATTTTGATTGTACCAGAAGAGCTGCCTCATTAAAAATAGGGGGTTTTCTCCAATAAAAACAAGTACAATTATAACAGTATTTTAGATTCAGCTTTGTATTTAACAGCTGCATATGGTAACATGCTATTTTCCACAATGTTTGATGTAGGCCAATATTATGCCAACAGAAAAACAGCTGAAAGAATAGGAACACAGCTCCAAACTTTCAGAAGAAATAATCACAAAAGGATTCAGAGGGCAGGGAATATAGCTCAGTGGCATAAGAGCCTGCCTGGCAAGAGCAAGGTCCTGAGTTCGATTCCCAGTACAAAAAAAAAAAAAAAGATTCAGAAACACTTGAAGAGTAACATACTCCAAAAGGAATGGAAGCAAACATGCACCATAACAGTAAATGTATATTAGGAAAATGTATGGAACATAAAACAGTATCTGTGTATATTCATCCAGGCATAGCTCAATTAAGAGGTAAAAATGAATGTGTAAAAAGTGTGTAAATAACAGTAAATTGAAGATTTATGCCTTAAACCAGTGGTTTAAAGCGTATTTTTCTGCCAGCTACTGATAGTTACAACCCCAGGCCTATCTGAACAGTACTTTATTAAAGCAATTATAGGAGGTGGCAAAATACAGGAAAGTACAGAATTATCTTTCCATACATTTAAATACTGATTATCACATGGCAATGAAATTATTATGCAATTTACCTGAAATAACTCAGACTTTCAATTTTAAATAAATACTTGTTACTATTGGTGTTTACATACCATAAATATGTAGTTTGTGTCAGGAACCTGACCTCCAGTTCTGAATAGTTCACAAAGGTCATAAAACTATAAAATAAAGGTAATATATGCTGATTACAAATTCCTGTTCAGGAGTAAAATAATAAGCTAGAGTAAAATGTGTAAAGAATCAGTGTTAAGAGGACTCCGAATACTTAAATTTGTAAGTAAAGCATAAGCAAAACTGCCAAACATATAGTTTCCAGGCCTTGGAAAAGTACTAGACCAGCTAACCAATACTACAGTCACTCCTCCAGCATCAATTATAAGCCCCCCCCCAAACATAGGCCCATCTTTTTTTTTTCTTTTAGACAGGGTCTCGCTATGCAGTTCAGGCTGGCCTTGAGCTCACTTTGTAGCCCAGACTGGTCTTGAACTTGCAATGACCCTCCTGCCTCAGCCTCCCGTGCTGGGATTATAGGCATGCGCCACCACACCCGGCTCTTGCCTCTTTCTTGACAATTTTGAAACCACTGACTGTATGAGTCACCTAACTTCGCAGGGCGTGGCGGCACATGCCTATAATCCCAGCACTTGGTTTCATTTTTTTCTTTGTTTTGGTACTGGGAATAGAACTCATGACCTCAGGATTGCCAGGCAAGCGCTTATGCCACTGAGCTATATCCCCAGCTAATCCCAGCACTTGGGAGGCTGAGGCAGGAGGATCATTGTGAGTTCGAGACCAGTTTGGGCTACAAAGTGAGCTCAAGGCCAGCCTGAACTGCATAGTGAGACCCTGTCTCAAAAAGACAAAATAATAGTAATCATCTAACTTCTCAATAGAATAACCTAACCACCCCACCCATATACAGTTTATTTTGTTTTGTTTTTGAGACACAGTCTTGTTAGATAGTTCAGGCTGGCCTTGAACTCACATGTAGACAGGCCAGCCTTCAACTCACAGCAATCCTCCTGTCTCAGCCTCCTGAGTGCTGGGATTACAGGCGTGTGCCACCATGCCTGGCTTCAGCAACCATTTTAATGAGATAAAAGCTAAACAAGTGGTAAGAATTTTTTTTCAAGCTAGGCGTGCACACACTTGTGATCCCAGCACTTGGGAGGCTGAGGTTAGAGGACTGGCATGAATTGGAAGGCCAGCCTGGGCCACATAGTGAATTCAAGGCCAGTGAGAATTATACAGTGAGACCCGATCTCCAAAAAATCACCAGCATCTCTTACACCTCAAGTGAATGACACACTGGCCATTTGGAAAGTGGAAATGATATTTCCTTATGTACACTGAAAAACTCCTATTTGTTAATATCACCATCACCTTATCAGAAAATCTGTGAGAGCATCAGAAACTGTCATATGTTAGTGGACTCAAGTTTTCAAAATTACAATTTTTTATTAATAAATTCAAATATTATTTGCAACAAATACCATTGTTTTCTTTGAAATAACTATCTTATCTCCTTCACTTTTGTAAAAATGATTGCCAAACAGCCAAATCTGAATAACCACAGTTTGTCATCCATTCTCTCCAATAAAAATAGTGATTATTAAAAAAAGGAGCCAGACCTGGTGGCATAGGCCTATAATCCCAGCACTCTGGAGGCTGAGGCAGGAGGATCATTTTGAGTCCGAGACCAGCCTGGGCTACAAAGTGAGCTCAAAGTGAGCTCAAGGCCAGCCTGAACTGTATAGCGAGACCCTGTCTCAAAAAAGACCAAAAAAAAAAAAAAAAAAAAAGGGCTGCAAAAGGTAGCAAGCCACAAGGCAAACAAATGGACAAGTTCGAGCTTGCACACTGAGTACTAAACAATCACATACAGGGACAAAATTTTGAGTCACAATGCACTGAGCACCAAATTCAAAGAGTTTCATATCAGTACCAAAGTATGACTGGATACCATATGGAAGGTTCATATAAAAAATGTCTACAGACTGGTAAGAAAAAGATCAACCAAAGGAAATGAGGACAAGGCCGGGCATGGTGGCGCATGCCTGTTATCCCAGCACTCAAGAGGCTGAGGCAGGAGGATCATTTTGAGTTCAAGACCAGCCTGGGCTACAAAGTGAGCTCAAGGCCAGCCTGAACTGCAGAGCAAGACCCTGTCTCAAAAAAAAAAAAAAAAAATGAGGACAAGATTATAAAGGACAGTTCACAAACGTGGGAACCCAGAGCTAAAAAAAAAAAAACAGGAATTCTTAGTAATTAGGAAAATGCAAATTATATTGTAAAACAAGATACCACTTCATAACCCTGTACTGATGACATTTTATCAGTGTGATGAGACCACATACAGTTGAGATGGAGAGTACTGTGAACTCTTATACGTTTCCATCCAGAATATTAACTGCTACAGCTTTGGAAAGCCATCAGAAAATATATCGCACTACTGAAGGTGACCACACTTGATGGCCTAAGTAAGCATGTACAGGAAATTCTTACATATGTGCTCAGGGTAATATATGCACACATGTTCCTGCAACTCTGAAATAGAAAAATAAGGTGCTAAAAAGAAAGCAAGCAAGAAAGAAGCAGCTACTTCAGCTCATGACTCAAAAACGTACACAAACTTTTCCTTGAGCAAATCATTTCTCCTCAGTGTACAACAAATATGCGCCATGTATGTATACAACACTTCTCAGTCCATCCCACAGAACAGTCAGAAGTGGTACCGAAGTCTTACCTTCTACTGCTTTTTTACCACCCGCATGGTCTGTGGACCGCACTTGTGTGCTAGCTGAAGGTCTCCATGCAATCTCCTCCCTCAGAGCATGTTTCCATGCTCGTCGGCACTGCACACTTACCAACATGTCCATTCACACTCAAAACTCAATCCTGTATTTCCAGAACTGCCAAAGGGAAGGAACTGTGCAAATTCCAAAGCATTTCTCTTAGATTTGATTTAATCAGTTCCATGGCTCTGATTAACAATTATTTTTAGGGGCCAAGCATAAGAGAACCAATCTTCGCAGTTGGGTAGTAGCTTTGCATTAACATGTGCAAAGGAACCCACATGAATTTCAAATGTCAGTTCTGTGTTTAGTGACAACGCAAGTTTGTACTAATTCTTTAGTTTGTTAAACTCATTATTTACAAAATGATTTTATCTCCTAGGATTATTGAAACAATTTGACAGGGAATATGTGAAAAATTACACTGCTGATCTAATAAAACACATAATAAAATGTTAGCAAGAATTGCACACCGGGCTGAAGATATACAATATGGAAATGTTTGTGGTTGCTTCTGACTTCTTGAACTTTAATTATGACTCTAATTCATATATTGAAAAGTCCTTGATAACATAAGTAGCCCTTGAATTTTAATTTTATATGCAGGGAACACACTACTCCTATAACTATCTTTTTTGTTAGCGAAATACAAATGTTCATTACATGGAAAGAAGTATCACGTAATTTAAAAAGAGGGAGAGAACTTTAACAAGTTAAAGATGACATAAGGAAGCCAGGCATGGTGGTGCACGACTGTAATCCCAGCACTCAGGAGGCTGAGGCAGGAGGACTGTTGCAGGTTTGAGGCCGGCCTGGGCTACAAAGTGAGCTGAAGGATGGCCTAAACTGCAGAGCAAGACCCTGTCTCAAAATGACAAAAAAAAAAAAAAAAAAAAAAAAAAAAAAACAAAAAAAAAAAAAAAAAAAAAAGAAAGAAAGAAAGAAGGGGTCTCTACTTAAAAGCAGATGACATGCGGATGTCAGATTTATTATAACTTCACCATCCAGAGAGAGCAGGGTGGGGGGCAGACAAAAAGCATAGTTATGTAGGCAAAATAGGACTTTGTTAATAGAGCAGCCCCTAGTGGGGGCAATGCAGATACATTTATGCTCTGTAACACTGTCATATTTAAGGAGAGAAATTACAAAGACATTAAGACTACTGGTGGGCTAGAGATTTAGCTCAGCAGCACAGTGCCTGCCTGGCAAGCGCAAGGTCGTGAGTTTGATTCCCAGTACCGGAAAACAAAACAAAACAAAAAAAAGACTACTGGTACTTTTAAATACTGCACTGCTCACAACGTATTCTTGCATTATGGCCCCAACTACGTTGTACCCATAGAGTAGGCTATGAATAAACTCTTTAGCTTTTATTCCAAGTGAAAAAATTCTACAAATACACATAAAGTTCCCAACTAAATACACACTGAGAGTAGAGCCTATTGGTAAGGTGCACACCTGTGCCCACTTAGAAATTCTTTTTTGTTTTGTTGTTTGACAGCATCTCACTATAAAGTTCAGGCTGGACTTCAAGTCACTGTGTAACCCAGGCTGGCCCTTGAACTCATGGCAGTCCTTCTGCCTCAGCCTCCCAAGTGCTGAGATTACAGGTGTGCACCACCACAACCAGCTGGAAATTCTTATAAACAAACTCCAGCAGATAAGAAAAAAATAAGCTATGGGGCCAGGGATATAGCTCAGTGGCGCAGTGCCTGCCTAGCAAGCACAAACTCCCTCTCTGATTCCGAGTAACCCGCCTCTGCCACTGAAAACAAAACAAACAAACAAAAAACAAAATAAAAGATAATTTTTTTTTATCTCATTATGTCAGTGACTGCCATGAAACCATGCACAATTTTATTTTTTTGGAATCTTTGCTCTTCTCATTCTCCCAGAGGAAATGAAAAAAATTTCAACAATATATGTCATGAATAAAATATACAGAAATGAATACGATGAACAGAATAAAAGTATCTCAAACCAAATATAACAACACAGAGCCAGATTCCAGCAGCCTACGTGGGACAAGGATCTCAATAAAAGGAGCTGTAGACAAGAAACCCATTAATGTTTCACTTTCAAATACTCCGTACTTGTCCAAAGTAGCTGTCTGTCATCACTCTTCCTCCTTTCCCTCACTTTAAAATAAATCAACTTCTTTTATTTTATTTTATTTT